CTTTTTTGCATAAAATTTTGAATAAAACGAGTGGTTAAACTTGAGGTCAAGTCAAACGAATTATAATTTGGAACGAAGGGAGTATTATTTAGGAACATCCTTGCACGTTCATCAGGTAAACACATGTTCTTTTATATTGAACATGTTATGCAGATGATGAGCGCAGAAGCATTGGCACACACAAACGGAGCCATCTCACAGAGGACCAAGATTTTTATTATTTTATTATCCTTTCTTAATTAATATTTTAATAATAGATTGTTCTAGATTTTTTTAAACTAATCTTTTTTACCACACCAATGTTTGTGGTGCGGTAGATTCACCAGCATCCCTCCCTAAAGTATGGCTGAAGTATGACGCCCTGTACAGCTCATGCTCTAGGGCACCAATGTTTGCTCATGCCCTGTACAGTCCATATTTAACGTTTCACATTTGCATTTTGATGATGTTAAAGAGAACAACACAATGATAAAGTTTATTTGATAACTAGGATATCTCAAAAACCAGAGGATAAAGTTTTGGAAACAGGATGGTTTCGTTTTCGTAGCTTGCTCGAGATCGGAGATCTGCCAGAGAGAAAGGTACTGGGCTTACTAATGGCTAGTTTGCTTGTACAAGGCGCGGGTGTTTTGACTAGGCGTGGGAACATCGGGCCTGCGCGTGTGTTTTGACTAGGTGTGGGAACATCGGGCCTGCTTGGTTGACTTTCAAAATTGACTTTTAAAATTTATCAAGCTAAGGATTTGGTAAGCCATAATTTTGGCTAGTATTTGGTTAACTATCAAAACTTGTTAACTTCTCACATTTGGCTTGCCAAATCTTTAGCAACTTTTTTTGCTCAACTTTTAGCTGCCAAATCTTAGGTATGGCAAATTTTGGTCGCGAACCAAGCAGACCCACCGTTTCTGTCGGCTTGTACACTCGAACAGTCTAATCGGGCAATAGATTTTTTTAAAAAAGGGAGTACAGTACAGATTGAGTAGGCAAGGAACAAGAGGAGGATTTCTATTAAGAGGCTGTCTTTATAAAAAAAAAGGGTAGAGGCTGTGTGCCTGTGTGGTGGCACTTGATACATGCAGGTGGTTCATCTCAAGTTTTAATTTGTCACTTCTAGAAACCAAATATTCCTATCGGTATAGAACGAACCGATAGAAAAACAAAATGAAATTGAGCATATCAGTTATCATACAACACATAGACAAATAACAGAACACACAAGAAAAATAATGTGTCACTGGAGGGACCCTTATTCGCACCAGTGTGTTTTTAGTAATTTCCTCGTGCCTTACACGCTAGTCTACAAACATCCCTATCAACAGGAAACTAGTCAAACTACTACAGTGTACTATTACTCTAGTCTCTAGCCTTGAACAAATCAAAGTCAAAACAAGGCAGCCGTTTTCACAAGCTCGACTTTGGGTCGCGGTCTCTGCATTGGGCACTAAATATTTGGCCTTACGATCATGCAGATGTTCATGGTTCAGCCCTTTATATTTTGCTGCTCCATCCACATTGTCACAAGCGGTAGATAGATGATGCATCCAACTACTTATCTTCTGCTTGTGTTGCTCTCTGCTATCTCTGCGACTAGCGCAGATGGTGAGATTGATGGGTTCATCTACAATGGCTTCTCCGGTGCCGACCTATCCATGGATAATGAAGCTTCTGTCACCGACGGCCTCTTGAGACTAACCAACTGGTACAATTCAGCTACAGGTCATGCTTTCCACACTTTCCCTCTCGATTTCTCAAATCCTGTCATTTCAAATACCTCCTCTGTGCCATCCTTCTCTACAACTTTTGTATTCGCCATAGTTGGCAATTACGATTTCTATGATACCAGCGAACTCATTAGTAGCGATGGTCTAGCCTTTGTCCTATCTTCCACCAAAGAGTTGTTCGGAGCCTCAGAAACCCCTGGTTACCTGGGGCTTGTCAATTCTTCCACCAATGGTAACTGGTCGAATCATCTCCTCGCTATCGAGCTCGATACCGTAGAGAACTTTGAGTTCGGAGACATAGACGACAACCACATCGGGGTCGATGTGAACAGCCTGATTTCCAATGCATCCAAGACTGCAGGTTACTACACCTCTGATGTGGAGTTTCATAATCTGAGCCTCAGCAGTGGGGAACCGATGCAGGTGTGGGTGGACTATGACAGCAAGCGCACCATACTGAATGTCACAATAGCTCCTTACTACTTGTCATCTGCCAAACCTCACAGGCCACTGCTCTCAGTTAGATATGATCTTTCCTCCGTGCTGACAAACAATGCAGCATATGCCGGGTTTTCCTCCGCGACTGGTGCGTTTGCCAGCAGGCATTACATTCTGGGTTGGAGCTTCCAGCTCAACGGAGAAGCTGCAGAACTCGACTACTCTGCCTTGTCTTTCAAGACTATTCAAGATGAACTCGCGCAGCTAGTTCCCCCTCCATCCTTCACCAACTCTGAAGACTACAAGGCAATACTATATGCAGTTCTTTTACCAACAGCTCTTGGAATCGCCATGGTTCTTTCTGCTATCACTGTGAAGGTCCTTATGAAAAGGATGTCAAAATCCAAGGCAGCTAAAATGGAGTGGGAAAGGGAGTACGGGCCTCCATCCTTCACCTACAAAGATCTATTGGCTGCCACGAGTGGATTCAAGGACAAGATGCTCCTTGGTAGAGGAGGCTTTGGGAGTGTATTCAAAGGAGCACTTCCCCATTCCAAGCAGACTATTGCTATTAAGCTTGTGTCACCAGAGTCAAAGCAAGGGATGAAAGAATTCATAGCAGAGATCGCCATCCTCGGCCATCTCCGCCACCGCAATCTTGTTCAGCTACTTGGGTATTGTCGGCACAAGAAACAACTCCTTTTGGTGTATGACTATATGCCCAATGGAAGCCTCAACTGCTACTTGCATACTCAACATCAGAACACCACCAATCTATTCTGGGCTCAAAGGTTCCACATCATCAAAGGTATTGCATCTGGTCTCTTCTACCTCCACGAGGATTGGGAGCAGGTCGTCATCCACCGGGACATCAAGACCAGCAATGTCCTTCTTGACAGTGAGATGAATGCAAGGTTAGGTGATTTCGGCCTCGCAAGGTCCCATGATCATGGAGCTGATGCTCACACCACACGTGTGGCAGGTACATGGGGCTACATTGCCCCTGAACTGGCTAGGCTTGGTAAGGCAACCAAAGCAACTGACATGTTTGCCTTTGGTGTGCTGATGATGGAGGTTGCCTGTGGAAGACGACCAATCTGGATGAACACAGACAATGGGGAGCCCCTTGCACTGGGCGACTGGGTGCTTGCCGCATGGCAAGGTGGTTCCATTACCGACGCTGTTGATCCAAGACTAGATGATTATGTGGAGGAGGAGATAGAGTTGGTCCTGAAGCTTGGCTTGCTCTGTTCACACCCCTCACCAAATGCGAGGCCTTGCATGCGCTTGGTCATGCAGTACCTGCAAAAGGATGCACATCTCCCATCAGATTTGGATCCCAATAGTTTGCTGAACATTGGTTTGGTTCAAGATGAAATGCACGATCAGCATGCCATGTCATGTCCAACAACTGTTATAACCGATCTTTCAAAAGGCAGGTGACACTGCTGTGCCAGTGGGTGATAATCATCTACCATGTGCTTTTGCTTAGTGTTCGTACTACACAACTGCTTATGTGATGTGCTACTCTTTGGTGGAGTTTCAGTGAATTTATGGAGCATGTACTACTTATGTTTCATTTGAGATTATTCAGCTAGCATTGAAGACATCAATATACTAAATGTAATATTAATGGTACTAATTAGCTGCGTGTAGCACAAGAAGGTACAGACAATTGTAAACGTGTATGTTTACCTTTCAGATGTTGTAAAATTTTGGTTGAATTTCTGATGACTACTCAGGTCATCTAAGAACCTCCATTTGTTAGCAGTCTAGTTGTCTATATTTGATTTAGCAAATTACTTTTTATGCTATTATGATGTGCCCATATTTGAAGCAGGCTCAAAAAGAAATTTATATTAGGAAAATTTTCAATATTATATTATTCGGATCATAACATGTGCTATAATATCAGCCACTCTGCTAGATGGGTCCAAACATTAGCATAGCATTTGCAGTAATATGTCTTTGGCATTTGTTTATTTACGCTAATTAACTGGGGCATTTACATACCAATTCCAATCTACTACCAGAATACACTTGTGCACATTTGATTCACGAAGAAACAATGTCAAATTAGTATTCAGATATAACGAAACAAAGAGCACCTTTCAGCTATACTGCATAACTGCAGCTGCTCGCATACCATTTCTGAAAAAAAAAATGTCAGCTTACAAGAGATCTACTGGCACCTGTAACTACAGTGCACTGTTGAGAAAATGGTTTTCTACCACTTACCTGTTACCTTACCTACCCACTCCTACAGAACATAGACAGCAAGAATATCCTTGTAACAAAAGGCGCTTTATTGGCACAGTAAGGCAAGTTTTGCTGGAGGCATAAAAAATCCGAGAAATGATTTCCAAGGGTGGAACAAAGGCGGTGGCGATTATAAATATTATGAGTTCAGGACAACAATAACAAATTATGGCAAATCAGGCTAAGCTAAGCATAAACGCAGCTTCGTACTCACATAACATTTCTGAAAATAAAGTGGCTGGCCTACAACCTGCAATTTCAACTGCTGCACATAGCAAACAAAACCAGTTTCCTACCACTTAACTACCCCATCATACAGAGTATAAAACATACACAGCAAGCATATCCTACTGATCAAAGCACAGATGAAGAATCACTAGGGAGTGGACATACATCAAATTTAGCTTGTATATCCAGTTGGTCAAGCCACAAATTTCAGGCAGCGTGTATCATTGTGTATGACTTGACAACGGCAAGAACAGAACCTTGTTCCACACCTCACACACGTGTAGTTTGCAGAACTACCACAGATTGAACGGTAGTGCCGTCGAGATGAAGTGCTTGGTGGACCCACAGCAGCCCTCAAATATGTTGGGACATGAGGAGGAAGGGATTCCAGATTTGTCTCTCATAGTTCCAGAGTGAAAATGTATTTAAGTAACCTACTTACAAAACAAACATGACAAGAAACAAACTTATAGCACAAGGTTACTTACTTCTTGTAAGACATCCATGAATACTTGCCGCCTTTTTCTCCAAAGCTTTCCCTTGCCTTGTCTTGCGTTTCATAATCTTTGACTGCTTCTTTTGCATAAGGACTGTAGAAATGAAATTCAAAGTTCAAACACAAAAGATGGCTTGCGTCATCGAACTTTAATTAGTTCAGTGGGTAGAGCATTTGAGTTGAATGTGCATCCACAAATCCACAACCCAAAAGGCCTATATAAGTATAGAACACAAATGCAACATTTAAAGAAACTGTGAACACAGGAATCTTTACAGTTGACAAGTTGCAGCCTTGTATAATGTGGAGTTCAAATATATCTATAAATAAATTACTGACTTTAGGGGCATTCCAGATGCTAACAACACAAGGTTGACAAGCCGTAGGCTGTAGCATGTGGACCTCAAAGGTGTCCAAACGACTGGCTTTAGGAGCAATTCCAGATGCTAATAACAGTCACCTTAGAAATATTTTGTGGGGTTGTTCATGCCAGATGTGTTGAAGCAAAAGTATGTTTCAAATATTTCCTTTGAAGGATAGTTTTAATTCTTATTCATCGATGCAAGGATAAGAAACACAGAATGCTGTTTTTTCCCTCTGCAAAATTGATACTAGAAGTGATATCAGAATATGTCATACACAAGAAATCTGTGTTTCAGTACTTGTCGCTTGCAAAGAGTAATATTTTGTCATGGAGCTTGTACATACTGTATCTAACTTATCCTTTTTGACATCATGGCATTACTATTACTACGAAGCTAAATGAGAAAGGAACTGACCAGGGTCTTCCTCATCCGTGGATCCGTACTCATCATCATTAAGATCTACCACCTCAACACCGGCATTGTCGCTCTCAAGAGCTTCAAGGCGAGCTAAAGCAGCCTGGCATTACAGATATGGGGGTATTCATAAGTGGGCAGCAAAACATAAATGCGTGTGGCCACGCGGCGCGTGCGGGCGCTGGTCCGGCGGGGCGGCCCGACGTTCTCCTCCTCCCCATCCATCTCCGGTGACCAAATAGAGGCCGGCAGCGGCGGGCGGCCCTTGCGCTGGATGAGGACACAGGCGCCGTACGAAGCGGGCGGCGTCGGCGCCGGCGATCGAGCAAGTGCGGCCGCAGGGTGGGGAGAGACCTCGGATGGCTACTTCGTGGGCTTGTCTTCCCATGTCGTTTTGTGTGTGTACTGGGCTCCTGGATATTGGGCCAGGCCACACTGCATTATCTATGATCCATCTCACACCATAACTGAGTCCAGAACCAGAACACCCTCTGGTGGGTTGGGCTAGCCTCCCTCCTTCCAACCAGACGTGAACGGGCCGATATTGGAAAAGTTTGCGTTACCAATTATCGCCAATGTGGGTGTAAAAAGCGTTAATGGCAATGATATTTCCTGGTGCACTGCTAATGTTGCAACTGCAAACTTACGTGTTCAGAGATGCCATCTGATGTTTGGCAAGTTGCAATTATCAGACGAAGCAAATCACTACTGCAAAGTTGGAAACTGGCGACTAGGTGATGACGCATTTAAATTTCGAACAATTTTTTTTTGAAAGATCCGGCATTAGCCGGCTCTGATTAATAAGAGGGAATATCAATCAACAGTTTACATGCGCGAGAAGCGCTTCCTACAGCAGCCTAGTCTGCGTAGGGATGGATTACAGAACTTACTACTACTCGCTTTCTAGATGGGCAACCATTAAGGGTTTGAGGAACGATCCTCCTGCTACCGACCAGCAGTATGCCATGTCCTTTATTTCTGTAAACACAGCTTGCGCAGGTCTCTGAAGATTACCGCATTCCGTTGATTCCATAAGCACCACAGAGTCAGAATCGTAACTGTGTGCCCCCTTTTGTCTCCTTTCATTTCTGATTGGGCAAACCAGTCTTCAGTGGTGCTTTCCTCCTACCACCGCGACGGTCTCAGTGTTTCACATAAGCTCCAAGAGGCCATCAGGTCCCAGACCAGTCGGGAATAGGGACATTCAAAAAAACAGGTGTTGGGCCGTCTCCAAATTCCTCTCACACAATGCACAAAAGTAGTTGTTTTTCCAACCACGTCGCTGCAGATGAGCCGTCGTCCATAGCTTGTCCTGAACTAGTAGCCATACAAAGAACTTGCATTTGGGTGGTGCCCAGGCTTTCCATATAAGAGAAGGGTAGGCCAAGGGTGTTTGTTTGTATCACATAGGCTGATTTGGTGGAGTATTCGCCAAAGCTTTCCAGAGTCCAAACTATGTGGTCTTCCCTTGTGTCATTTAAGTCCAGGTGTAGTGCGTCAATGGCCCTCCAGAGTTTGAAGAACTCGTTCAGTAGGTCATGATTCAGGTTGTATGCAATGTCTCTGATCCAACTCCCATTTATAATAGCATTACGCACAGAGCGATTCTTCCTCCTGCTATGCTTGTATAGCAGCGGGCAGATTGTGGACGGTGTCTGTCCATTGATCCAGCTGCTGCACTAAAATGATGTCTTGTGGCCATTCCGCACTATGACGACTGTAGCTGCGTTGAATAACGCCAAATCTGTCAAGTCGATCGACACAGCTGATCCATTCCATGGTCGTTCTGGGTTCCACCATTTATGCCAAAGCCATCGGAGGCGTAGAGCTCTGCTGAACTTTTCCAACTCAGGCCCTGTTCGGCACAGCTTTTACCGGCTCTGGTTTATCGGTTTATCTGACAACAATACTGTAGTAACACTGTAGCACGAAGCCAGTTTTCTCTCTCTTCCTCTCCCCTTCTCACTGACGCGCGCACTATTCATTAGAGCCGGAGAAGCCGGTTTTTTCTGGCTTGCCCCCACATGCTACAGTACGATCGCTACAGTGACACAGGGAAGGTGGAGAGGGAAAATTGGCTTCGTGCTACAGTGTTGCTATAGTGTTGATGTCAGATAAGCCGGAGCCGGTGTAAGCCGTGCCAAACGGGGCCTCAATAATTCCCAGCCCGCCAAATTCTATCGGTTTGGCCACAGATGTCCACGCCACTTTACACTTTCCTCAAATTTCAAACATTACAATGCAGCTTCAGAAAACAACATTACACAGAGCATAATTAGGCTTTGTTTGGATCCCTATAGATAGTAGTTAGCTGCCCTAGAAATAGGATTTTAACAGCCGCCTCTACAAATCGATTTCTAGAGACAACTATACATCACAGCTGCCTCTACATATTGTTTACTAAAAATCATCCAAAAAATCATAAATCGGGTCAAAAAAAAAAAACAGGGGAGGTCCATCAGGCAGACGCACCGCGTGTTTGCCAGCACTAAACTGAGTGTACTCACCAATCTACTACACTTAGTATAACCTTTGGAGTTAGAAGGGCACATGATCTTGAAGGATATAAATTTATGAACAAATTAAAACTCTGCCACACAGCACATCAATCACATATGTGTAGTAAGACGCCGAAAGCAACGTAAATCGATCAACATTATTGCATTAAAGAAAGCCAACATGGGTACAAGTGTGTGTGTGTGGTTTATGGCCAAGCTAAGTAGCACAACAATATTCATCACCTCCCTTGAGAAAGATCAGTAATAGTAGTGGCCGGACATGACATTGGACGCTCCACGCTCATCATCCTGAGTTCCTGACTCACACCGATTCTCAGCAAATTATCAGGTTGCAGGTCTGCCGGTAGTGGTGCATCCCTTTGTAGATACTGCATGACGCGGCGCATGCAAGGCCTGGCATTTGGTGAAGGGTGTGAACAGAGTAAACCAAGCTTCAACACTAGCTCTATCTCCTCCTCCACATAATCATCCAGTCTTGTGTCGACAGCATCGGTAATGGAACCACCTCGCCACGCAGCAAGCACCCAATCTGATAGGGCAACAGGCTCACCATGAGCACCGTCCACCCAGATTGGCCGCCTTCCACAGGCAACCTCCATCATCAACACGCCGAATGCAAACACATCGGTTGCTTTAGTTGTCTTGCCGAGCCTGGCAAGCTCCGGAGCAATGTAACCCCATGTGCCTGCCACACGTGTGGTGTGTGCGTCAGCTCCATGATCATGGGACCTTGCTAGACCAAAATCCCCTAGCCTCGCATTCATCTCACCGTCAAGCAGGACATTGCTTGTCTTGATGTCCCGGTGGATGACGACTTGCTCCCAGTCCTCATGGAGGTAGAAAACACCAGACGCAATGCCTTTGATGATGCAGAACCTTTGAGCCCAGCATATAGTGGTGGTGCTATGATCTTGAGTATGCAAGTAGCTGTCAAGGCTTCCATTGGGCATATAGTCATACACCAGAAGGAGCTGTTGCTTGTGCCTGCAGTAGCCAATCAACTGAACAAGATTACGGTGCCGGAGGTGGCCAAGGATGAGGATCTCGGCCATGAATTCCTTCATCCCTTGCTTCGACTCTGGTGACACTCGCTTAATAGCAACCGTCTGCTTGGAATGGTGCAGCACCCCTCTAAAGACACTCCCAAATCCTCCTCTGCCAAGGAGCATCTTGTCGCTGAATCCACAGTGGCAGCCAATAGATCTTTGTAGGTGAAGGATGGAGGCCCATACTCCCTCTCCCACTCTATGTCAGTTGTTCTAGATTTTGACAGCCTGATCATCATACGGACCCTCTCAATAGTAGCAGAAACAAACATGGCGGCGACAACAACAACAACAAAAAGAACCACACATACTAACATTATTATTGTCTTGTAGTTGTGTTGGCGAGCGTGAAGTTGTTGTATAGACTTCAAAGGTAGGTCGGAGTAGTTGAGGGCTGCAGCTTCACCGTTCAGCTTGAAGCTCCAACCCAGAATGCAGTGCATGGTGGGAACTGGGCCAGCTGCTGATGAAAACCCGACATATGCCCTTGTGTTTGGCAACACGGAGGAAAGATCATATGGAATCGAGAGCAATGGCCTATTAGGTTTGGTAGATGACAAGGGAGCTATTGTGACATTTAGTATGGCGTGCTTGCTGTCATAGTCTACCCACACCTGCATCGGTTCCCCACTGCTGAGGCTCAAATTATGAAACTCCCCATCAGGAGTGTAGTAACCTGCACCCTTGGATGCATTGGAAATCAGGCTGTTCATATCGATCCCGATGTGGTTGCTGTCTATGTCTCCGAACTCAAGATTTTTTATGGTATCGAGCTCGATAGCAAGGAAATGATTTGACTCGTTGCCCATGGTTTCAGAATTGGGGAGTCCCAGGTACTGGCGCTCTGAGCTGCTAAACAACTGATTGGTGGACGATAGGACAAAGGCCAGACCATCGCTGCTGACAGAATCGTACTCGCTAATTATGGCGAATACATTAACGTTATGGAGAAGGATGGCACGGAGGAGGAGGAGGTATTTGATGGATTATTTTTGAAGTCGAGAGGGGAAGTGTGGAAAGCATGACCTTTAGTATCCGCGCCTTCGGATAGCCTCAAGAGGCCGTCGATGACTGAAGCTTGATTATCCATGGATAGGTCCGCATCCGCACCAGAGAAGCTATTGTAAATGAATTCATCAGCATCACCTTGGGCGGCGCTAATCGCAGAGACAGCAGCAGGGAGCAGCACAAGTAGTAGGAGTAGGAGGCGACGACGCAGCTGGTGCAGATAAGAAGAGCAAGCTGGACGATGCAACATCTATCTGTCTCTAGACAAGATGAACGAAGATGGAGTTCCAATAATACAACTAGCAAGGCTCGCTCGCTGGTGGCTCAATGGGCCGGGGTGAACAGACGCATGATTGTATATTTTACGAAGGCCTTGGTTCCAAGCCCCTAAAACTTGGAGCTAAAAGTTTTAAGAGTTTTTATGAGGCTGCTAAAACCTCTAAAAGAATATTTGGTTCCACCTTCTAAAACTAACTAAAAGCAATAAATACACTAGCAAATAGACCATGTAGCCCTCCTCTAGGAGAGAGAGAGGGGGCAGGACAATAAAGGAGGGGTAGTGGGGGTCCATGATGAACTTTAAGAGTTTTTAGGAGGAGGTGGAGCTCCTAAAGTTTTTAAAAACTTTTAGAAAGAGATATTTGATTTTTTAGACAAATTCTATCTAGATTTTAGCTTCTAAAACTTTTAGGAGGGGTAACCAAACACGACTAAGGCTAATCATTTAGTCCATCCTACAGTCCAGCGGAGGGAGACCTCCACGGCCACCCAAGTCAAGCTTTTTGTCTAAACGCGTGAAAATGAGTTTCGTTGAT